CACCTAGAGACAATAAACGAAGAAACTTTATGGTGATGCTTTTAATTCATTTCAAGTCATGGCATTTCTATTTAACAACACTTTACCACCTGTACCAATGGCTTTTTTTCTTACCATCATTTTTTCTCGGTTGTGCTTTAGCTGTGGTTTCTCCCCCCTCTCCTTCAGCTCCCTCCGGCGAGTGTAACACCAAATGTTTCTGCAGAGCCTTGGACATGGTGAACCTCTTTCCACATTCCTTGCAAACATAAGGCCTCTCTCCAGTATGTGTGCGCCGGTGATACTTCAGCAATGTCAGCGTTTTGCAAGGTTTGCCACAGTCAGTGCAGGCATAACCATCTTGGCCAAAATGAATTTTTTTATGAACGGTCAGCTCTGATGACTTGTTGAAGGCCTGACTGCAGATTGGACACTTGAAAGGTTTCTTCTCTGTGTGGGCTTTCTGGTGGACCATGAGCTCTGTGGAGTTTGTGAAATGTCGATCACAAACATAACAAGCAAACAGGGCATTCCTCAGTATGCACTGTTCATATTCTGCTGGGTGGCTCAGCTTGAGATGACGTTCTTTGCTCTTGTGATCGCTGAAGATTATATGGCACTCCATGCACTGGAGGGAAAGCTGAGATGCTACAGGGGAAAAGGGCAGAAGCAGAGTAAATACATATAACACACGTCTGTATCCCTAGACTCAAATCCATACAAAACATACATGCTTGCAAAAACAAACACGTGATTCTAGGATTATTTCATTTGCGAATGTGTAGGTAAATTTGGATGGAGGTAAAGACAGGTTAAGAAACACCCGACAAAAATTATACTGCATAGTATTGCAAATTTTTTCCATGGCAATATTGTATCCATAATGGGAACCAAATATCAATATTTTGTTAAATAAATGAAATACTATTAACAAAAGGGTATCTCATGCACCTCCATCCTGAGATAACACATGTAGCCAAGCAAACTCAGATTAAATTGACTCGACAAAAGAAACATCCCAAACTGGACACACTTAGCCTGACAAAGCTAATGGCTCAGTCACAAAGTTAAAGACAGGACAGCAACCTCCTTACAGCTACAAAAAACACGATTAAATAAAAAAAATTTTGTGCCTGGTGACTGCATTGATGTTTTTCACATTCTGTGACCAATCCCAACTTGCTGTAACTAAATGGTTGCTTAGAGCTTGGACTGACAATTACTCATAAAGAGATTGTGGAATGTTTGCAAATATTTGCTCTCTAATTTACAAATGTAGACAGATTGCCAACATATTTCCATCAATGTGAATGAGTCTTTGTTGAGTCAAGTTTAAGAACATAGTTTGCAGTTGAAGAAAGGGAGGATAAATGCAGAATATGCATATATAAGCATACTGGAAATTGTTAGAAATCAAAATAATATCGTACTGTGGGTAAAGTACTGTGATAATATTGTACTGTGGAGTGTCTGGTGATTCCCACCTCTAATATCAACCCAACCAAAATAATTTCTCACTTTGAGTTTTGTCTGCTACTGAACATTAGATTCTATTGACTGTACAGATTTAACCAAACTTCAAACAGTATCAGCTTAATGAAGCAATGTTAGGTTTACATCTTGTAAAAGTACTGCAAAGGATACAGTCATACACAGTTAAATACTGTAGATATTGTTTACAGCAGAATATGATGTCTCCTGTAATTCTAAATTTGAAATAATAACAATCAAGCAGGTCTCCCAGTCCTCGACAACATATAACATGGAAAGACAAGTAAAAGACTCACATGTGAGAGGCATGACCAGCGGTTTGGACATATCCATCTTCAAAGGATCTACCATGGCCTTCTTGGAAGGAACATATTTCCTCCCGTCACTTACAGCTTTCTCCTGCTTTTTACCCTTTTGCCCATCACATCCAGCATTCGTGTTAGTTTCATGTACCGCTGGTTTTGCAGCTGTGTCCACGTCCATCCCTACCTTTGCAGGTGTTTCTGCTGATTTTAGCCTTGCTGCACTTCCCTCCGGTGCAATTACCTCCTCAGTCTCAGCAGCAGCTCCCTTGCTGTCTTTTTTTTGTGCATCTAGCTCATTTTGTGCTGGCTGAGCCTCAGTGTCCAGCGGTGGCTTTGAGGTCGCTGTGGTCACAGGGTTTGACCCACTCTGAGCCTGGTTTGCAGTCTGCATTTGTAGTCTTTCTTGTTCAGATGTTTCTGCGAAGTCAGGTTCCAGACAGAAACACATATAACTGATAATTACACAGATACTAATCGCCCTACCTCATTTACCTTTTTGCCAAGACTGCGGGTTCTACACATTTTAAAAGGAGTGAAAAGCATCTTTGTAATCCACATAGCGACAGCTGGGGGACTAGCGCATATTGTTACTGAGCTTGTAACATTTGCATTACAAAAAAAACAAAGCAAAAAACAAAACAAAAAAACCAACAACAACATGGGGCTCAGCCGCCACAATGAGGTGTTAAAGAATAAAAAAATAAATAAAAATTAAAGACATGTGAAAACATTTGAGGACCATATTCCTACTGGTGAGTTCCTTGAGCAATGTCTCTCTAATAACCAGACGAAGATAATGGTAGCCTGGTTAGCCTAATTCACTGATTTGCGGTAAAAATCAGAGTGCAAAATGCGATACTTCCGCTCTGATAAAGCGCCAAATACACTAAATAATATTTCTCGATTTAAGACCATCCATCTACACAGACGCCCACTTACACAGACACGGTGTGTGGAAGTAGGAGGATGTAGATTCAGCGTTACCTAGACTCACTCGTCCGCCCAAACATCACCGCGTCGTTTCTGACAAAGCCTGCACGGAGGAGATGCAGACATCGTGACGTCACGTCTGACAAAGCTCGCGGAGGAGTGACGGGAAATGTGGTTTTCCAGCAAGTTTGGGCCACTCTGAAAACTGTTGCTACCGGTTGGCTTCCTTGACCAGTGTTAAGTCCGTTTCAGTTTTTTTTGTTGCAACAAATAAAATATCAGAAGAGGGAGAACAAAAACCTTTAAAAAAAGTGTAATATTCATTTTTATTGTAAAATTTCCAGGAATCCTCAAAGTGCAGGTGTTCACAGAGACACAAAGACTTTGTAGTATAACCTTCATAAACTCACACTGTGACTGCACACTCATGTCATGTGCACGCATGCAAACATAATCACAAAAACCGTCATTCTAATGTGAAGCGTCTGTTGTATATACAAACCCAATTCCCAAAAAGTTGGGATACTGCGTAAAAAGATTAATAAAAACAGACACAATGATTTGCAAAAGTCATCAGCTCATACATTTTTCACCATACAACACAGAAAACATGGAAAATGGTTAAATTGAGAAATTGTACTATTTCAAGAAAAAAAAAAAGCTAATTTTGTATTTGATGGTAACAAAACACGTGTGTGGCGTTCCTTCACCTTGTAACAACAATTTGTAAATGTTTGGGAACTGAGGAGAGCATCTGCTGGACTTTTGTGAGAGGAATGTTTTCCCATTCTTGTCTGATGTAGGATTCTAACTTTTTCCATTTGATGATGCATCAAATGTTTTCAGCTGGTGAAAGGTTTGGACTGCAGGCAGGTCAGTTCAACATCTGGACTCTTCTGCTCCAAAGCTGCTGTAAGAAATGCAGTCTGAAATATGAAAGCACTTCCTTGGAAAAAAAAGGTTGCCTGGATGGGACCATGTGTTGATCTAAAACCTGTATATACCTTACAGCACTGATGTTTTCCAGATGTGAAAGCTGCCAGTTCCATAGGTGCTAAAGCACCTCCATACCATCAGAGATGCAGGCTTTTTAACTGACCCAGAGAAGACAGCAGTGTTTCTGGATCATGTTCACATTTGGCTTCTTCACAAACCTCGACATGCAGTGATTTCAATGACAGAATTGTGTCAAAGATCCCAGGCATGCAACGCAGACGTTCGCCTTATCCCTTGCCCACAGAAATGTCTCCAGATTCTCTGAATCTTTTGATGATGTTATGAAAACAATATATTCAAAATCTTCATTATTTTAAGTTGAGGGAAATTATTCTGAAATTGTAGATGCAGTTTTTGTTTTTTGCAGATATGCAAAATTCTGCCCCTCTAAGATGTAGTTTATATATTCGGACTGTTCCCATTTAACCTAATGAGCTGCAAAAATGTTCCTCCTGCTGTTTCCTTTTAGCACCACTTACCTTTAAAGCCTTTATTGCCACCATGCAAACTTTTCTGAGACATGCCATAAAATTTTTAATGATTAAACATTTTTCTTCAAACCCTACATTTTCTACATTTAAACATTTGAAGTGTTCTCTGAAAAAATAAAAACTGGTCTGTGTACTTTCCAATTGATTGCATTCTGTTTTGTTTTTTACATTTACTCATTGCATTGTTTTTGGAATGGGCTTTGTATACAGAGTTGTAGATGTCTCTTGCATTTATGTGCAGCCCTCGATTTTAATATAGCACAAATTACTAGACTTAGCAGCAAGTACAGAAGCTTATGAAGTTGTGTGCTTATTTGCTTAATTTATAATTCATGAAATCTCATAAAAGTCTCTTTAGTACAATTAGCTCTCATTGTATTACTAAATAAACCACTGAATATCATGAACTGTTACATTTTTCAAACTAGTGACTGTTGCAGACTGGCCAACTATATCTTAGTGCTCATTAATACACTTACTCTAAAATCAGTGAAGTCGTTTATCATTCTTCCTTTATAGGTTGCCATTTTATGCGCAATTAAAGTGATCAGAAATGCTTTATTTGACAATATCTGGATGGAATTTCTGATTAGGCATCCAGATGCCCATTTTCAGCACCTAGTAACAAAAAAATTCAACGTTTTTGAAGTCATAAACCTAATTAATCACTAGAAGAAAAAAACATCTCTACTTACTACATCAGAAAAAGCACATGTCGATTTGGTTAGTTGTGTGTCCGAGTTTAATTATACGTTTAAAATGTCAAAAATAAAAACAGACTTCAGAAACTTCTATAAAAGAATATGCCTTTTTATTTGGAAAACATCTCACACAAAATATCTGTGCACACTTCTGGATACTGGAATAATTGAGGTGAGGGAGAAGGAATATTGTCCATTTACTTGATAAAAGTCGGATGGACAGAAAGGCTGGAATTCAATAAATATCCCAGCAGTGAGTGAGACAGTGTTCAAGAGTTTTTATGTGGGAAACCGACAGAAAACTGAAGATTTCCTACAACAGTGTGTAATCCACATTTCACAGTGACCTGTGACCTTTCACAAACTCTGGAGAGAGGAGAGAATGAAGTGACAGGAGCAAGAAGACATGAAGATCAGTGTGTCTAATTTCAGAGACAGATGTCTTGTACGTCCTCAACTGGCACATTCATAAAATCCTCTCCGTGTCAACATCTGCAGTGAAAGGATTCCCCAGGATTTTATTTTATTTTATTTTTTTAAGGAAAACATTAAAGGAACACAGAGTGGACAGCTGTACTCAAGTTTTCCTTTTTTCTTTGACCTGTTTAATTCAAGAATGTTTCTCAGACTCTTGGATTTTACGTACTGAAAATATGCCTTAAAAAGTTTAATCTCATAGCACATTGAGGCTATACCTCAAAAAGGCCTCCTTGGTGTAGATATTTGTTGTTAGGGTACTGTAACGCATGATTTTTAAAAATAAATTAATCAGGAATAAGTAAAAAAATTGTTTTAAAAAAGGGCAAAAGTTTTTTTGTAGCAGCTGTGTGACGTCCTTAAAAAAATCTGAACAGAAGCAGGGATGAGAAATCAAATGCTTCAGTGACACCTCATCCTTCTGTGTTATCCCACAGTATAGGCAACTCCCCAGTTGCATGTTTTATATAATGCGAGTGCAGCTTTGCCACATCATCAAAGCCCATATCACAGTCAAAGCACTCCCATTCCCAGTACTTATGGTCGCTGTGCACGTTTCTTTCCTGTGACTCTGCCTCGTCCGGCTCGTTTCTTGTTTTTGACTGTACATCTCCTGATTTGGACTCGTCAGATAGATCAGCCAAGTTAGCTTGTCTCAAAATCTTAAAGTGAAACACCGGTTCTCCACAGTCTGACTTGTCAGATCTGTCACGATCCTCGATCTTCTCACATGGGCTTTGTAGCCCTGTTTTCTGTGTGCTTTCCTCCTCCTCTGGTCGTTCTTTTAAGTCTGCATTCATTTCTGGCTCTTCTTCAACACAAGGGAGAAGAGCACTTCTTTGAATCAAACCTCCCAGGTTCACAGAGTTGGTACGATGCTGTTTTTGATGCGAAATTACCTTTCCGGGATTGGAGAAGCTCTGCTTAGCTCCGCCATGGTTGCTGAAGTGACTTGTGGGTTGTGCAGACGTGCGGAGGCTCCCGTGCCTGTGATAGTGATTTTGCAGGTGTTTGTCTAGTGACGCTTCATCTCTAAAGCCGCGAGTGCAGCTCAAACACCAAAATGGATTCTGTTTATGTAGCTCAGCGTGAGCCAACCACAGCCCCGCAGAAGCAAAGTCCTTGTTACAAGTATCACATCTGTGAGGGGCTGATTTTAATGAAATGCTTGCTCTGTGAACTCTCAGGTGGGAGATTAGCCGTGTTCGTCTGATGAATAGCATCCCACAATCTGGACACTCGTACTGGCGCAAAATTGACTCGTCCGGAGGTTTCGCTGATGCAGAGGACTCGTTTTCGTGCAGCTGTTGGTGTTTTTTGAAAGAAACCAGGTACGCGTAAATCTTTCCACAGATCGAGCAAACATAATCTTTTCTAGGTGCATTCTTCACTGAGGCGGTGGAAACTCCAAAGCTTTGAATCGGGTCTGAGGTCCCTGTTTGGGCTGAATCGCTCTCATCACACTCAGCTGTATTACCAATCATGCTTTCATCTCCATTTTCTCCAGCATCTTCTCTCTCTGGCACTAGTTCTGCTACCATGTGGTCTTCAATCTCTGCTTCCTCCTCTTCCAGAGCGTGCTGGTGCAGGTGAGTCTCGTAGGTTTCCCACTGTGTGAACTTCAGCCCACAGTCCTTACATTCAACTCTGTGCTCCTCATCTACAAAGGGAAAAAAGTTATTAAGTACAGTAAGTATTGGTACTGATTAAATGTTTAGTGTAAATTGTGAAGATGTAGTATCATGCTGACATGCTGTTAAGCAAG